CAATGGGCCCCAATTTACTGCCTTAGCCTTTGAACAGTATTTAGCGGAACGGGGCATCCGACACGCACTCACATCGCCGGCTCATCCTGTGGCGAATGGCCGGGCTGAACGAATAGTTCAGTTTACGAAAAAAACCCTACAGAAAATGGATCAAGGCAACATCCATGACAAAGTCACTAGAATGCTGCTCCTACAACACATCACACCAAACAGCACGACCAACAAGTGCCCAGCTGAACTCCTGATGGCCAGGAAACTCAGATCGCCTCTAGATCGTTTGCATCCTGCCTACACCCCGGAAAAGCCCCTGGGTTCCAGCAGCAAGCACTGTGTTTTCAAGGTAGGAGACCTTGTTTTCGCAAAAAAAATTTCTCGGGACCCCCTTTGGATTCCTGCCCAGGTAACTCAAGTTACGGGCCCCAGCTCCTACTGTCTACTCACCACTGATGGCAGACCATGGAAACGCCATATTGACCAACTGCACTCCAGACTAACCACATCTTCCAACCCTGACCCTAACTTTGACACTGGGGGGGGGGGGAGGGGAAGCAGTGAACTCAGAATTAGAACCAACACCTATTTATTCTGAGCTAACACCAAGATCACCGCACCATGGTTGGCAACACTCACCAGCTGCAGCTGAGACTGGACAGTCAAACTCTTCGCTAAGAAGCAGCAACCAGGCTGGTTCAGCGAGCCCCGGGAGCCATGGCAGTAACAGCAAGGCTGAGGACTCCATCACCCCGGGAGCACCAGAGGAGAGCCCTAACCATGACACCGGTTCACTGTTCCTGTTTGATCCAGCAAGCAGTCCATCTGAACCCGGGTTTGAACAGGGTCAAGTGGAACTGCGTAAGTCAGGCAGACAGGTGCGAAGACCTGCCTACCTGCAGGACTATATTACTCCACCCCTTAAACAGAACCGAGAGGGGAGGGGTGTTCCGGACTAGCAGGCTCGTAGCCTGCAAATCTGATTGGCCCGCTGAAAGCCGATCGTGATTGGTCGCCATAGACTGATGCGATTGGCCAGTAAACGGGCTGCCGCGATTGGCCCTGCCAAGAGCGGCAAACTCAAATTGCCTTCATTGGCTGCCTAGCCGCAGCCAGCCCTATATAAGGGGCTGCTGCGGCTGGGGTTAGTTGCTCAGATCTGAAGTCACAAATAAAGAGCTTTAGTTACTATCTGAGTCTTGCCTCCATTCTTGAACCATCCTCCCAGATATAACAAGGAGGATGAAAAGTGTGTTTGTGTGTGTGTGTGTGTGTGTTTGTGTGTATGTGATGGGAAATCAGGAGGGGGAAACAACAGGTGAGAAAGACCTGTCAGATCCTGTTTGTACCAGCATCCCAAGCCCAAGCAACCTGAGTAATATGCAGATTGTCCCCAAAATTTTATATGTTCTCAAAACATGCAGGCGAGCTCTGTTTCACTGGAAATGTATGTGTCTCTGTGTGTAATTGTGGGTGAACCTTTTTTTACCTGGCAAATGTGGGTGAATTCAGAGCTGGCTTGACATTCCTACAATCAACACCTTTAATAAAATAACCCATTGCTTTATCCAAATAGAGTTGAAGGGCTTTCTTTCCTAAGGGATGAGATTGGGCCAGGTCCAGTGGTGGCTGCTGGATGGTCAGCAAGGTTTGGAAGAATCCCTAGCTCCACCCACCCATTGTGCTATGCTTTCCCTAAATAAGTCACTTTCCCCCCGTCCAGGCTGCCCAGGTGAGTTCTGTACTGCTCTGCTGTACTCACTGGGGCTGCCTGAGTCAATTAGTTGCTGTTTGAAGCTGCATTTCAGCACTAAAGTGCCTCATGACCAGGAAACCCCTTGTCAAGAAAAGTGTAGCCCCTCTCTGGGCATGTTTTACATCTGCATTACAGCCAAAAAGCAACAGTTAGAAATGGACATGAAACAACTGATTGGTTCAAAAGAGGGTAATAAGTACAACAAGGCTATCAGTGGTGGAATTCAAATTATTTTACTACGGGCTCTGTGGGAATGGCTTGGTGTATGTGGCAGAGGAAGGATACTGTAAAATCTCCAGTCAGAAGTGGTATTTGCCTGTTCTCTGAATTACACAGGATTTCCGCTACCGGTTCTCCAGAACTAGTCAGAACCTGCTGATTACCACCTCTGAAGGCTATATATTGTCACCTTGATGGTTTAAATTATATGAAAAGTACATCTTGTGAAATGCCAGGCTGAATGAATCACAAGACAAAATTAGGATTGCTGGTGGAAATATCAACAACTTCAGATATGCAGATGATACCACTCTAATAGTAGAAAGTGAAATCGGTCCCTTTTTTTAAAAGAAAAAGTCCTGTTCAAATTTTTTAAATTTCTGTTTTCAATTTTTAAAATCTTTGTCCAAATTTTAATCTGTTTTCAATCCTTAAATATCATGTTTAATTTTAAATTCTTTTTTCAATTTTTATATCTTTTTCAATTTCTTTTTTCAACTAAACATTTGAAAAATATAGTTCATTTCCTTTAATTCTTTAGAAATTTTTAAATTAATGATCTAAGAAAAAAAATAAAAAAACACTGAAAAAGCGGTAGATACTTAAAACAGGAAAGATAGTGATGAATTTTTCAAGAGAACAAAGAACTCCTGTAAACTTTTAGCAACAGGGAAAACATTTAAAATTTTAGTTTTTTAGCAAACCCAAAAAAATTAATTGAAATAGACACTGACATCTGCCCACATAGCTCAAATACTTTGGCCACCTAATGAGAAGAGAGGACTCATTGGAAAACACCCTGATGTTGTGAAAGAGTGAAGGCAAAAGGAGAAGAGGAGAAGAGGATAGCAAAGGATGTAATGGTGGGATTGAACTAATTTAACAACTGGTTCTTTCTAATGACCGATCGTGCAAGGCTGGGGGTGGGTTCATGTGACTGAGTGAGCATGGTCAACTCCATGTTACTCATGGCAAGGTGGATGGTGTGACAGGTTGAAGTAGTGGTGGTGATGTCTGGAACAGTGATTCTCCAAAGCCTTTTCTTTTTCTAGGTCTCGCTGTGAAAACTCAGGATTTTCTAAAAGATTTTTGTAGCAGGAAAGGGTGGGTAGCTACTTATGGCCTTTTTTGGTACAGCCGGGCACAACTCCACCCCGAGACACCGGTCTTCGGCTGCCCCTGCCCCTTTGCTTGCATGAACAGCCTGCAGCCATTGCCTCTTTGCTGGCTCTTATAGCCTGCAGCCACTTCCTAGGCATTGGACTAGATGACCTATGAGGTCCTTTCCAACTCTGATTATCTGTTATCTGTTACCTGGACACTATAGCCTCTTTTCTGGCTGCAGTCTTTGCCTCTTTGCCAACGTAAAGGTTCTGCAGCTGCTGCCTCTTTGCTGGACTGAACTAAAATGGTTTTGTGCCAACAAAGAGGCAGCAGCTGCCATCTCAGTTTCAGCTGAACAAAGAGGCAGAGGCTGCAGGCAGTTCACACTGTAAAGAGGTGAAGGAAGGCTCACCAGGCAGGCAGATAGCTGGGCCCCATGGGTGATAGTGGAGAATGGTTAAGGATGACTTGGTATGGAGCTGGACTATGTGGGAGGTAGGGGCGAAGGCAGGCCACATGGGAGGGGCTGGGCCAGGACTTCGGAACTGATTGCAGCATTGCAGGCACATCAGGCAGGGATCAGAGCAACTTACCTGGGCCGTGGGCATTGTGTGGGATGCCATGGTGGAGGCAGGCAACCTGTCTGGCCCACTGAGACCATGTGGTGGAAGCAAGTGAGGGACCCAGAGAACAGCAGTAGCGATGCTGCAGAAATGATTCTAGGCACTGACCAAGGTGGGTATGGTGAGATGAGGAGTGATGGTGCAAGGTGGGGTGGGGCCAGTCAGTGGTGTGATTTGCCAGTTCTCCAAACTGCACACACAAAAAAACAGTTTGTTTGAACCTCTGCAAACTGAATCCCACCTCTCAAAGAATGAGATGGCTAAATAGTGTCATCAGCACAATGAACATTAATTTGGGCAAATTCGGGAAGACAGTTGATGACAGTGGGGTGGCTGGCATGCTATGGTTCATGGGGTTTCAAGACTCAGACAAGACTTAGTGACTGAATACTAACACAATAATTGGGGCAATAGAGCAACATTTAAGTACAGGTGTTCATTGTTTAGTGTCTGCTTGTTCAGCAACTATCTGAAATTTTAACAGTGCAGAACAAGTGGTACTTATGACTTCCTTACTGTGCTCATATGATCACAATCTTGAAAGTCAATAATTGGGCTGGATTTCTGAGTCTCATGGCAACCCACAGTTACTTGATTGTGATTTACAATATATCTTTCTGGCTTTCTACAAGCAAAGTCAATAGGAAAGGTAGAAGGAATTGGAAGTAGTGATCACATGAAGTTCATGCTTTAAAAACTATGCAATCCTCACTTAACAATAGTAACTGGGGTCTTCCAGAACAGTTATTGCTAAACCGCATAGTCAAGGGATGTCACAACTTACAACTGTATCACATAGCAATGGAAATCCAACTTCCAATGACCATAATTAAGCAAGTTCTGCCTGTAAACTTTACAAAATAATGGAAGATTAGCTACTTCCGGGCTTTGTTGGTGCTGGAAAGACATGACCTATTCTCTGCCCCAAGCCACTGATCTGACCTGCAATAATGTCAAACCCCACATGGCTTTGCCATACCTGAGGGTGAAGGAACCCCTGAACTGGTGCTAGGTGGAGGGAATCTGATGTTCGGACACTGATGAGTCAATGAGCAGCTTGTTGATGATCATCTGGTTAGTAGAGAGATGCAAATCAGATGGCCATTGGAGAGGTGGGGCCTCATAACATCAGTAGCCTGCCGGCTTGATATAAAAGGTCAGTGACATCTGGGATGTGAGAATGAGCCACCACCACTGCCGCTGCTGGGCCAAATGGGGCAGGATCGCATTGTGGCTCTGCATTGTAATGGGCTCCAGGAGGAGGAGTTGACCCCATCTCCACCATTGTGGAGCATACTAAATTTTACTGTGCTTCACAAAGTGCTGCAAGAGCAGCAGGCAGGCCATGGAGGTGACAACAGGAATTGTGTCAGGAGGTGCAACAGAGGGCTGAAAGAGCCGCAGGTTGCCAAACCCGAAGATAAGTGGTGGGAATTCAGGACTGAAGTGCAATGATATTTCTTTTATTGGATGCATTAAAGTAGAGCCAAAGTCAACATCTGCAGGATCCTGCTGGAATTTGAAATCCGGCATTAAGTGGATACATAATTTAATGGCTTAAATGTCCCTCATTTGAAATTTATTATTGTTTCATCTCTTAGGAGTTCATATATCTCACAAATAGTAGGCTCAAAATAATATCCTACCTTTATCCTCTTTTACTAAGTGCACTGAGATATTTAAAAGACCTTCACTCCCTTCCCTTTTCCTCTTAGACACATGTTCTTGGAAGCATATAAAGTCGCTCTCATTCTTCTCCATCCATTTGCTCTAAATGAATAACTGGGTGTAGAAATGGTCTATGAGGAGGCCAGAACCCTATGTCTCATAAAAAGGGAACATCAGCCATGGTGGCACAGTGGTTGGAATGCAGAACATGAAGAAGAAATCATCTTAGAATTATCATCTGTCATTTTTGGTTTTGGGCTTGACAGGAAGTAAATTTCATCAAGAGAAGCATATTCTAAGGAATTTTGTAGAATGCCATTTACAATTCTAATTTCAGCATATGAATATTTTTATTACTGAATACATTATTCCATCTCACTTTTTGATTTTCAGGCATCAATAATCCTGGAAACTATTGTTTGCTAGAGTTTATGGACACATGATGCAAAACTAAAGATATGTTGGTTTCTGCACTACTCTGCTAACAGGCTTACCTGCCACCACAACTGATTGTGAAAATGTTTCCATCTTTCTTTCATCTTTGTTGATATTCTAGATTTGAATAAAGAGAGAGATTGCAAAGCATGTGCCACAGCATAGACTGCATTGTAAATATTGTAACACTGGCCACTCATTAGTGTTTCAAACACAGATGTGGGAAGAGTCTGAAGCCTCTCCTGTCCAGTACATTTCTTCTCAGAGGTCTCAGTTTCTGAGTTTGGAAAGAAACAATTGAATGCCTGTTCCCAAAAATCTTTCCGAAAATGATCATTCTGGTTGTTTGGATTCAAGTTTTGAATAAATTCTTGGAAATTTTGTATCTGCTTTGTGTGAACTGCAAAGGATAAAGCACCATGTAGAAAATTGATATTCCAAGATTTTTGAATGGCAACTGATGTGAAATCTGTCTGAGCATTTATAAGCCAGATCTTATTCTTCTTTGGTATATCCTCCACTTCTGAAAACTGGAGGAAAATTCTCAGATGTGCTAAGGACTGAATTTCACCATATAAGATTATCACATTGGCTGTGCTGTTCATGAGAACATGATATATATGTAATCCTTCATCTATAGTATCGGTAAAATCACTGTAAAAAGCCACATTTGGTAACTCTGCTATGAATTCATTACAGATGCCATGCTCAGAAAATGTGGGGAGCACCTCCTGGAGGAATTTTTCTCCTTTTTCATCCTTTATTACAAGAATTCCAATCCAGGTCCATCTAAAATACAGCAGCAACTGCAGGAGACCCTTACGTTGATGGGATTCATTTGGAAACATTTGTTGGAAGAAAACTGCTTGAGTCTCTTTATCCATGACCGGAGCAGATCCATAGGTCAACTACAGAAATATAAACATATGCAATTGCAAACATCTATGTGACCTTCTGAAAACATATTCATTCATATGATTCCTTCGGTATCTTTGACCTAATAAAATGTAATTGATACTGCAATTATGCAACCAGCTGGTTGTTTTAGGAAATATCAACAAGATGTCACCCTTGTGGTATCTGTACATACATTTTTCTGAAGGAGTCTCATTGTGAATAGTTCAAATTTTAACCTTAGTTCAGACTTCCAGTTTGCCAGGCTTCGGCGACGGCAGGGATTCGCGACTCTGTGCGATCCCTGCCGTGCTAGCCGTCTTGGTGCCTCTGATCCCAACGGATCTGGAGGATAAGGCTGCCCTGTAGGGGCAGCCGAAGATAGGGGGGATCCAGACAGGGTTGGGGGGTATCGCAGACTCCCTCCCCAGCCAGCAAAACCCCCTTTTCTCAAGGTGGTGGAGCGGCAGTCTTTAATGGCCGCCATGAAGAATCCGGCAACTGGTTAAGAATGTGTAGGAGGAAGAAGGAGGAAGCTTCAAGGTGAAAGTTTTTTTTGGCTGAACTGGGACTTTAAGGATATATTTAATACCCTGAAAACTACTATCTTTTGGATATTACATTGTTTCCAGTGGAGGTTTCTTAAAGCGGCGAATGGAAGTGCTGAAAGGGAAAGTTACTCTCCCTCCCTTATGGAATTAACAAATGGACACTGAAAAATCTGCTTTTTTACAGAAGGTAAAAATTTAAAGCTCTTTGTTACAAGTGGGAAGGGAGAGGTCTGGAAAAAAAATTATATTAAGACTTTGTTGGAGGAGATGCCTTGAAGATTAAGAGACTAGAAGCTAACTGCAATAAGGCTTTAAAATACAGATTGGGTTTTTTTCCTAACTGATATTACCCCAGGAAGAGAAATTGCAAAGGGAAGAACTTTGTGCTTTGCTTGGATTGTTTGATGACTTTGGGGAATTGTTTTAAGTTTGGAAATATCTTGGTTGGCTTAATAAGAAGAAGAGGAAAAAGAAGAAGAAAAGGTTTATAATGGCTTTATCTATTGATGAACTAAGAAAACAATACGGAAAAACAAGGAAAGAAGGCAAGGACGCTATGGGAGAGGCCTTTTGTTTTTTAGAAATGGTGCTTGCTTTTTTTCAGCAAATTCAACAACAGCTGGAGGAAGCAGAGGAAGAAGAAGCCATTTTTAATGAACAAAAAAGTTTGATCAAGAAAGAAAGGAGAAAGAGAGGAAGGAAAAGGAAGGACTTAAGACTTAAAAAATATCCATGAAAGAGAAAAATAAGATGCAAAACCAATATAATGTTAGAAAGCAAAAGGAAAGAAGAATACAACAGAGAGGGGAAACCAAAAAGGCAGAGGTCAGGAGAGGAGTGGGTAAAAAGGCTAGGTGGGTTAAGAAAGAAAGAGAAAAGTGGGGGAAAAGTCACAAAGGTATAAAACAAGATGGGAAAAAGAAAATTTATTTTAGGGGTAATGTATAATTTTTAAAAAAAGGGATTCTGCAAAGTACATATGATAGTATTGTAGTATTTGTATTAAAAATAGAAAATTAGAATTTTATAAGATTTAATAAAAGATTAAAATATTAAAGTGTTTAATAATGTTAAAATGTTTAATAATGATTGACTTTAAGTTTTAATAAAATATTAAAGGAAATGTTTAAAATATTTAGTTTAATTATAGAGTTTAATGGGCTAATGTGTTGATGTTATTATAGATTTATTATTGTAGTATTTGTTTTTGAAATAGTAGAATGTACTAAGCAGAATCAGATTGGGATCTAGGTGCTATTTTAAATGTCAATTTAGGGGAATGATAGAAAGGCATCATACTCTGATCAGCGATTTCAGGAGAAATTTTCTTTTTTTATTATTGAGAATGAGACAAATGTTTAATTGGAAAAGAATGGACAAAAGATATAAATATATTGATGTAAAGCAAGATGAAATATATAAAATAGAATTAAGAAGAGTGAAAAGCGGGGAGGAGTTATATAGAAGATATAGAATGGTAAATAAGATAGGTAATGGTATACAAGAAGAGCATGAATTTAACTGAAGTCCATACAAAAAGAGGTAATCTGTGGCCAAACTACTTTCTAAAAAGAAGTTTTATGTTTTTGTGTTTTGTGTGTGTATGTTCGATTGAGAATTAATAAAATCTCGGAGAAATGTCAGATGAGAAAAACTGTAAACAAGTCAGAGGGAAATATAAATATGATGACTTAATAGTAGATAAATATAGAAAAGAAATGTAATTGAATAAGAGTAAAGAGAAATAATGAGAAATTTGTTAAAAGAAATTTATGTGTTTATATGGAAATGGGGTAAATTAGAAGTATGCAATATAAAATAATGTTTAACCTGCCTTGTAAAGATTTATAATGGAAAGAGGTTTTATGTTTTTAATGTTTAATGATGTTTTGTTTGTCTTTAAAATTAATAAAATTTGTTTCAAAAAAAATTTTTTTTTAACCTTAGTTCAGTGTTTGGAATTGGGGCGTGTTTTGCTGTGTCAAATATCTCCATTTTCTGTTCAGAGTTACAACTGTTTGTGCTGCTGTGATGACTCTATCAAACAGAAAACATTATCTAGAAATCTGAAAGGTCACCTCTTTTTACAAAGAGAATCATATAGATGTTTGTGGAAAATAGACGATAATGTATATCTTCAGCACATCTTACCTGAGGTACTTTGTAGATGCACAATACTGTTGCCATGTGAAGAGAGATGCCAGATGCCCCGATGACTGCAGTCAACATTTTTGTGATCCCACATTTGTAGTTAGGGATGAATTTTCCCTGAGTGAAAGGCA